AGATATTTTCATTTCATATGAAAGTGCCTGGTAAAGAGATTAGTTTACTGATCTCACCAAAAGATGACGGTCGATTCTTGCTTTCCTGCAGCCGGTTGAGGTCGTCCACAACAACTCCTCCCTAGTTTCGTCCGTTCTGCCACATGCCACACATCAGCAGAACTGGAAATCATTCCTGCTAACGCTAAAGTCACTATTAAGTCATGAAGACTATCAGGCTCCGTTCTACATGCAATAACTATTTACAAGTTAAGACGCAAATAAGCAGATAGATATAGAATTATTTGGTTAGTACACTTTATTTGTGTGTGTTTAGGTGATGTATCTTTTTTTCTTCTTGACTTGCTATTAACTTTAAGCTTTTGACAAGAATGAATTCCAGCTCTGACTGTGTTAATTGGAATGACAGACAAAACTATGAAGCCAGCTCCGTAGTCTGCATAAACCTGAACGGCATAGTGCAGTCCAACGATCACAAAACAATGGGAATCAGCCATCGTCTTCCGATCAGATCAACTCGCAAATCTCTTCATCATTCAACATGACACCAAGAAGTTGTCTAGCGAGATTTATCGGAACCCAGCTACTCCTCGTGTCTACAGGTTTCGAAGAATCCCTCTATGCAAGTGGGTTTACCTTGTTGTTGTCAGGGCGACTGTGTAGAACTCACCTAGTCCGAAGTCGTCTGCCATAGTAGTTGTCATGATTCCCAGCATCAGACAGTGGACTTGAATCATGACAACTACTATGGCAGACGACTTCTGACTTGGTGCGTTCTACATAGTCTCCCTGACAACAAGACCGAGTTGCGTAAACAAGGTCAACCCACTTCTATAAGGTGGTTTGAAGACCAATACATCTTGGTCTTCATATATTCTAAATCCCTCTATGCTTCGCTGTTTCTCGTCATTTCCTTTCGGAGTAAAAGTTGATGCGGAGGGTTTTATAAATGTGCTTTATCGGAAACTAGAAATGAAGCCGAAACTATGTAGGCCATTCTTCCTCCGATTTCCAGTAAGGCCACTCCTACAATTCTCTTCAAACAATTGTATCCTTAAAGTAAAGTCGGGTGTCATTACAATCCTCGATCATTTGCGGACCTTTGCATTGTTTGCTATTTCGCATGTCGACAATAGCCAACAAACTACTTCATCAGACGTTGCCGACTTGACATCGAGTCCCGTTCAGGAGTGAGGCCACCGGTTGCTCTGGCTCTTCGTGACGAGTCGGCCAATAGGCTCAATTTGTGCCAGGTCTGGTCACCTAGCCTTCGGGAATCGAGAGGTGGGCTGAATTCCGTGGAGTTCTGACACCCACCGCTTAGTGACCGCACTAGTTCCACATGTGGCGAATGCTCCTGGAGGCGAGTCAGGCCCATCTCGACTCACAGTTCCCATGACAACGAGCCTGAGCCTCTTTTATTCTCTGGCCTCCATGCAATCCGTCCAAAGCATCTTCTCTGATGAGCGAAATGGCTATTCCCGGCCTCTTGATGGACGGACGGTCCAATAAGAACTGAAAGGAACTTTACAACAAGGGACCTTTAGAACTATACTACAACTCTTGATGGAAATAGTTGGATATAGATGGAAGGAACAAGAACTAATCGAATCACAGTATATATTCATATGTCTTTTTTTTAGTTTTCGGTTATGAATATATACAACATGTGGAATAGAACCGGATAGTCGCCTTGACTTAGTGTTAACTTGAAGCTTTTGCAAGGTTGCTTTCCAGGCTCAACGATTTCTGTTCCACCAGAAGACGACGGCGGATACCTCTTGACCAGCTGTCGATTGGCTTTACTGGAACATTCAT